ATGATGTACTCGTCACCATCTCGTACAATGGAGCCCTGAATATTTAGGGCTATTAAGATCACGTTACGCTGTGAACTAAAGAATCATCGAGAGTAAATTGCTTAGCTTAAGAAGAGCTTTGACCCAAGGAACACGGTCGATGATGCATTCATTGACAGCGGCACCTTTTTTCGTCACAATTTTACTTATTAACCCCTTGACGACACTGCAGTCCACATGTGGACTATAGTGGTATATTTTGTTTTATTTATTCGAATTTCCATTTTTCGACGATCTTTCTTCTCAAAACATAAAATCAGGCCTAACCGAAACGATATACAGCGTGGTCCCAGGGAATCGTCTAATTTTGCAAGTTTACAGGCAATAACAATCACCCTAAACATCATACTTATATTTCTGCTTTTGATTTTCGGAGTATATCTACCTTCCGCACTAATTTTTGGTCATTTGATACCAGACCGCTGATTTTTTGAAGAAACATGGGGCCTTTACTGAATTCTTCCTCTGAAAAGAATTAGAGAGTGAGGAACTGCTCCTCATCAGAATACATCACTAGCCGACAAAAATTCAAGTTCCGCATGCCATCATTGTTATCACATCCTATCCTTATTGAATTCAGATAAAATCAAACAATCCCCAATTCAAAATTCAAAAAAGTGGTCGTCCTGGACCATGTAGCCCACATGTGGGCTGTGGCCCGCTTTTCCACCAAACGTGATTGTCGTCAATGGCTTCTTTCATAGTCCACGATTTGGCCCGCGATCGAGCGATCGGGGCGGCGCTTGCCCGCGGTATTGACCAAGATTCAGTTGTAAACAAGGGCTAAGCGCCGTCCCAGTCGCTCGGTCGCGGGGGCGCGCGATTCACGCGTGACCCCATTAGAGCTCATGGCGCACGCAGCATCGCTTCAGTACCCGTCTGTTGACATGGACCGAATAAGATTTGCTGTAGTCCACAACTTTACCATGAATTAGAGCAAATTTCTTCACTTATGGCAATGAAGCATCTTCGAACTTGAGGAATCACTTCATAGGTCACCAATCTACTTGTCAAACGTTCAAAATAAGAATAACTTCAATTTTTTTGATCCTGGAGAATGCAATCCTTATGAAACGTGCGTAGTTGGTCATTTTTCTCACTTGTGTTGCTTATATGCTCTTATTTCTCCCATTACGATGGTAGGCATAATGTTATAGCGCTTCTCGTCCGATGACCTCATTATATTGACGCGTGAATCGCACCACAACCCTAGGTCGCTCGCTCGCGGGCCAAATCGTGGACTATGAAAGCAGCCAAAGGGTTAATTCAGGCTGTATAGCCGAACCGTTCCCACCTGTATGTTAGTGGCATCACTACTTGCCACATCCGGTTCCGTCATAGCAAAGCAGCTTTTGATTTCTCCTTTCAGCAAAGGTTGTAACCACTCTTTCTTTTGAGCTTCGTCGCCATACTTGATTAATACTTCCATATTACCAGTATCTGGTGCTTGACAGTTAAAGACCTGAAAGTCATTCAGTTAAATAAAAGAAACAATTTCTAGTAGTTCATACTTTGTCACAGCTGCTCAAGCTCTAGGAAGTAATGGAAAACACTGGAAGCAGAAGAAGAAGAATAGGCCAACCTCGGGCGCAAACGGGCTACGACCCATAAGTTCACATATGTGAGCATACTCCACGTTGGTTAGACCAGGTCCATAAATGCCTTCAGGGTCAATATGCTCCGAGATGAACAGGTTCCACGCTCCCAACGACTTCGCCTTTTCCTTAAATAAATGCATAATATAATCAGAACTCATTTATTTATTCTATGTTTCACCATAATCTTGCTCTCCCCCTTACTGATTCTGTACAAGTGATTCAGAGAAAGTTAGTGACCTGACCTTGATCTCCTCAAACTTCCGATAAGGTGTCCAGCGGTCAGGCCCTTGATAGTATTGCAACGCTTCGGCCTCCAATGGAATTATGTCATCGTGAACAATTTCCCTGACGATTTCATACATCCTCTGTGCCTTTGACGAAAGTGCTTGTGGAACGACGGCAAGTAGTCCTTAATTCAAAAGCAAATGCTTTCAAAGGTATATTCGTTACTAACGGTGAACTAACATTTTAGAAAACTCACCAGTTTCCCTGACCCCGTGTTGCATTCGTTTAATTATGGCCAAACCGCAACTTGCCAATTGTCTTGGTACAGTTGCCAATTTGTGCGCATCTGTGGAGGCGGCGTTCTTCTGAAGTGATCGCTTATATACTCCTGAAATTGGATTGACAAAATGGAAAAAAGTTGTGATGATAACGACAAAAGCCAATGAAAGCTGAAAAGGACACGAGATGGAAAAATTCACAGCGCTGCTTTGCATTTGCACCTTAACTGGGTGCGCTTCGTTGCGCGCGTCCGTAGAAACTAGGTCACGCCGCAGCCATCGCATGCGGCAGGTCAAATGACGATCTTTGACAAACGTCGCAGTTGTCAGCGGGGCATACGAATTGCGCTCAGTCCACGACAGTGAGCCAAAGAGAAGATAACACGGACAAATGCAAATTATGATTATGATTTATTACCGGAAAGCAAAGAAAACAAAATGGCAAAAAGAA